CCTTACCTTGAGGTTGTTGATCTGGTTGCGGAGTTCATCCACCTGCTCGTGCACGACGTCCTGGTTGGCGAGCTTGTCCTCCACCTCGGCGATCCATTGCAGCAGCTTCTGCAGGGACTCGTCGCACAGTCGGTACTTCTCCTCCATCGCTTGCTATTGAATGAAACAACACCGCGCAAAACACAATGTTAGTTTATGAAGTGGGCAGGTTAAGCAAATAATTTGAATCTCTGAATCTTGACTTTGACAGAGTCGCAATTAATAAGTTTTTCAATACTTGTCATAAGTTTAATTGAGAGTGAATGACAATTTCTATTTATCTGAATTTTAAACCACTTTGTGCATGTCAAATTAAAATTAAGCCAGTAAAAAGAAGCACACTAATGCACATTGCAACAAGTGGCAGTCTGTGAAAAGCAAAATTTGCAATATTTATCACAATTAACTCGCATTATGCTTTTTTGAATTCAATATTGTTTTTAAGCATCATTCATTCAACATTGAAGCTTTCTTGCGCACCTTCCCACCAAGACAGACATAGAAAGGATTAGAATTTAAGAGAATTTAGAAAGAGGCCACAACCAGTTTGACCTTCCCCATCCTCACAAGAGGAAAAGGCAAGAGGAAAAATGGAAAATAATACTTCTGACTGATATGTTCCACCCTTTGTCTGTCACAGGAAAGGTAAACAAGTCTGTTCATTCACACAATCAGCCACGACAGCTCAGTAAAAACAAAACCCTTCTTTCAGTAAATTGCAACAAAACACAAGAGAAAAGAAAAACATAAGACAATAAGCACACATCTGCAAACATAAAAGACTATCACAAGGCATATGCAAATCAAAATGAGAAAGCAAATGTTGTGGTGAACATGAATGATTTTCATGATATCACATGTGTCAAAAAATAGAGCAAGATTAACTTAGACCACTTTTCTTCCTGCAAGAGTGCCCATCAGCATCAATTGTTAACAGTAAAGCAAAGTCAGGCATGAGATGGGACCCCTCACAGAAAAGAATGAGAGAGTAAAAGTTAATCTGCTCAACTTATACCCAAGTAAAAAGAGATCATTCTTTTTGGTCAAAATAACCGGCACTATGTCAAAAGATAAAATTCATCCTGAAAAACAAAAACATCTCAGATGATAAAATAAATAAAAAATGAAAAACAGCAAAACAAATTAAAAATATCACAGGAGGCCTTATCCGTTAGGCTTAATATTAGATTATTTTTCATAAGACTATGAAAGGCAATAAGAAATAGCATTGTAATTATGACAGATCATTTTGCAAAATATGGAGTGTTAAAAATGAGTATGTAATATTTTTCTTAAAAAGAATAGCTGAATAAACCAACCCAACAGTACCATCTCAACCGAACCCCATGAGCGAGCAATAGTAAGCATTAGAGTGCGTTTCCTTCATTTTGTCGCACATTCCGTTAGTTGCAGGTGCAGTTCCGTGCATCATCACAGTCTTGCCCTTCACTGAGTTCATTAGTTCTTTCACTTTTTCGCACTGTTTTCGGCACACTCTCACTCACACATTGTTAGTAAATAGGGGAAACAGATGAAAATTGGAAAATAAAAATGGATCAAGATAGGCATACAATCCAACCTGAAACAAAACTCAAGAGCAAAGAAAGTAAGCAAAACATGGAAACACGCCATAGTTCATTAAATGGTGAGGAACACAACAAAATGGAAATCAAATCAATGAAAGAAACATGTTTATCCATAGAGTTACTGTTTTAGTTTCAACAAGCTTAACGGAAAATTAAACAAAATGTATGAATAAATTCCTATGCCCTTCAAATATTTTTTTGGTTGTGATATGTGAAATGACATGACATGAAATTCAGCCAACATCTATAACTTTCCAAATCAATAAAACGTCCTGACTCATGACTTACATTCAAAGCATCTATTACTATTAATGATAATGATCAGCAGAAGCATTCTGAGTGCCATTAAGCTTAAATGATGATTTGTCCTATGACAACAAACAGCTTCCTAAACATTTGCTGATCTAAACCAGGCATGTGATAACTACTGATTATCTATTTTCTCGTAATGCATTAACGTGACATCCCTATGATATGAATGCAACATGGATTGATAAAGTGGAGCAAGAGAATGGACAAGCCCACAAGGCCACATCCAAAATTCCATAGGCTCCTTAACCATCTTCCCAGTGCAACCCAAACAGTTCGCTTAGCAGTACCTGTCCAATTCCAGCATGCTTCAGTATTACACAAAATACAGCTCAAAAAGATGGCTCTGTAGCAAATTTAAAAGATACGGGTCACTTAAGACCACAAATAGTGAATTATGCTCGTTTTAAGAAGCTTTTTAGAATAGGCTCGACAAAAAGCAGCTGGAATATGGAGACAGATTTGATCCGATGGCTAAAGATAGCAAGTAACTCAGGAGCAGCCATATTTTCAAAATAATTCCAACAGAGCAAGAAAACCCAGTCGTTAGACTGGTACTTTGTACTGGCTGTCTCCTGACTCACTTGACATTGCTTTGCATTCGGCCAACCGGGGCAACAGGCTAGTTCAGCAAGCACGAATGACATTCGACAGAGGCATTCCGGTCTCACCCTCTGTTCGGCGGGCAGGATGAAGCCCCGCTGCAGGGCCCTGGCCAGATCCATCGGCTCTCCTTCCGGGACGCGCAGCCTCCCTGCCGCCGCGTCCACCAGCGAGGAGGTCATGGCCTCCGGCAGGCTGCAGACAGCCCCCGTCTCGGGATCTTTGACGGCTGTGGAGGAGGGGTCGACGACACCCGCCTTGACGGCCTCGGCCAGGCTGAGTGGTGCGTGGCTAGGGGAGAGGTAGGGGTCGCTGATGGCGCCAGTGGCTGGGTCGTAGAGGTTGTACTCGATGGCCTCGATCAGGGTGAAGCCCCGTCTGGGCGATGTCAGCAGACCCTTTTCAATGGCCTCGGCCAGGGTGTTGAGGCGCGAGGACTCGGAGTCCAGCACGTTGCTGTCCTCGCCTTGCATGAGGCCCTTCCTGAAGGCCTCTGTTAGCTTGATGAGATGCTTGCGGCGGGTGTCTTTGATGAGGGCGGAGTCGGGGTCGATGAGACCTTGAGTCACCGCTTCCCGGACGGTAAGAGTCTCCTTAGAGATCGGGTCTGTGAAGCGCGCCGTGGCCGTGTCCAGGTGGCCCTGCTCGACCGCCGCCTCGAACGTGAGGGGCTCGCGTAGGAACACGACCGTGCCCTGCTCGAACATGATGCACAGGGACTTGGCCTTGCCCGTGCTCGGGTCCAAGGTAGCGCGCTTGTTCAAATCGATCAGCCCGTCGACGATGGCCTTCTTGAGCGGGTGGAAGCGCCCGGTGGCGGGGTCCTTGACCATGGCCGACTCGGGGTCGATGAGCTCGTGGCGGATGGCCTCCTCGAGCGTGCACTCGCGCATGGTGCGCGGGTCCTTGAAGGTGCCTCGGTTGAAGTCGATCGAGCCGCGCCTCACCGCCTCCTTGAACGTGAGGGGTTTGTCCACGGTGACGAGCAGACCTCGGTCCAGGGCGGCCTCGATGTTGTGGGCGTCGTGGGTCTTGGGGTCGGTCACGCGGCCGCGCTGGGCGTCCAGCGTGCCGTCCTCGATGGCCGAGTTCAGGCTCTTCAGCTGGCCCGTGATGGGGTCCCGGACCGCAGTCGTGTCGGGCTGCAGCAGCCCGCGCGCCAGCGCCTGCGCAATGTCTAGCAGGTCACCCGTCTCCGGGTCCACAAAGCGGCCGGCCTCGGCGCGGCACAACCCGCAGCGCACGGCCTCCTCCACGCTGAGCGGCCGGCGAGCGGTCACGATCAGACCCTTCTGCTTGGCCTCCTGTAGCGACAGGGTTCGGTTCGAGTCGGGCAGGCGGTACAAACCCGCCTCGTCATCCACGAGCTTGATCTTCACGGCCTCGTCCAGTTTCATGTACTGGCCCGTGCCCGAGTGCTTCACGATGGACAGCACGGGGCTGACGAGCTCCTCCTTGACGGCATCCGCTAGCGTCAGCCTCCTGCCCGTGGCCGGGTGTGCGAGTCGGCCCGTGGCGGGGTCGTACAGCCCCATGGCGAGCGCCTCGAACAGGCCGAAGCCCGCGGTCTCGATGTCCACAATGAGGCCCAGCTCCATGGCCTCGGACAGAGGGACGGCGCAGTTGGAGCCGGGCTCCTTGAAGCGGCCTGCGCGCCTGTCGATGATGCCCGCCCTGCAAGTCTCCACGAGCGACAGGAGCCGCTCCGGCTTGCGGTCCCAGTAGCACGGCAGCTCGGGGTTGATGATGTACCTCCGGATGGCCTCGTGCAGCGTCACCTTGCGCCCCGTGTTGGGGTCCGTCAGCTTGCCAGTGTCGTCGTGGTAGATGCCCTGGTGGATCGCTCTCTGCACGGAGACCGCACTCTTGCTGTCCACGATGAGGCCCTGCTCCAT